CACCATCACCATCCCCATCACCATCACCATCACCATTAAATTCTTTATGTTATATTCATAGACCAATTTTCTATTGTTTAATACTGTATGTATAGCTATCTATCTCGGCTAGCCCTTGTGGTTATTATAGATACCTTGTACCTTTATTTAGGTTTTAATACTTTGTATTTATTTTTCTCTTTTAAATGTTATTTAGAATAGGTAATGAATAAATACGGTTGTTGTTGTTGTTGTATTATGCTTTCAGTTCGACAAATGTAGTACTGCGGTGGTGATAAGCGATGACAAGTTTTTTTAGCATCATCATTACCATTATAATAACTCAACACCATCACTTCTCAATAACATCATCATCACCATCGTTATCGTCAACATCATCATCATTATCATGATAAACAACCTGAATACCAACATTGTCATGGCCAAGCTGTCATAATTATTATCATCACGAACATTACTTTATCACCATCACTAACATCAGTGACCATGAACATCGCTACGATCACTCTCATCATCATTACTTCCATCAACTTATCATCACGAACATTACTTTATCACCATCACTAACATCAGTGACCATGAACATCGCTACGATCACTTTAATCATCATTACTACCATCAACTGCTTTGAACATCTTCACTATGTTCTGTTTATACCATTTGTCAAGAAAGTAAAACACTTACAGTATTCCTGTCTTCAAACACGATTCGTGAAATGCTGGTTTCTTCTGTTAGACTTCGGCTTTTCTCTTTTAATTGTGCTGCTACATCGTCAGTAGAATCTGGTGTCTCACCACTTGCTTCAAGGTCTTCTAATTTCGTCTTGTAGAGATCCTAACAAAGTAATGCTTGTGAAATAATGTTGAGAAGGGAAAAGAAGGGAAGGGATGGAATGGGAAGTAATATATCTAATTATACAGCTTTTCATTAATCCCATATAGGTAACTGTCCAATTATTTTCTTAATTGGACAGGTCTTGTTGATATGGGATTAATTAGGCAGCTATATAATAAATAGGTAATGGGATTTCATGCACCCCAATCAAGAAATAATTAGACTCGAAAAATTCCTCTGACTGCCAAATTGGACTCGGCCTACGGCCTCATCCAATTTTGTCAGTCCTCGGAATTTTCCTCGTCCAATTATTCCTTAATTGGACAGCATGGAGTCCTATTACATATAAAACACGTGAAAGAGTGTTTCATCCCATCCAATTTCCAAACACGTATAAGTGAGTTGGAAAAACAAGGCGGAGACGAGTTTTTTAACCAACTTTGAGGTGTTTGGATAGAAGATGAAGCACTCTTTCAAGTGCATGATCATTAATAATCCTTGGAGAAATTCAAGGCATAAGTTACCCAAACTTTATGCTAATTAAGAACACATTTTCAAACCTTTTTCACGCCATTGATTTTCTGGTTTTGTCCTCGCGAATTATTAATGAGTTTGAGAACTGACGGGATGGAAAGGAATGCCAGGGATTGGAAGGCAAATGATAGGATTGGAGGTTGAAGATGATCATCTTTGGAACATTTACCGTTCCATAGGCACATGACCTATTCTATTGCTAGTAGCTATTGTCGCTTCTTTACTTACCCATTTTTCTTCGCCTGAAGAAATCATTTTACCAAGTACAACATTCCCAGCGACATCAGCACTGGCAAAGACATTGATCCAACTGTTGAACGACAATGTCTAGAAAATAATGGTTTAATTAAAGTAATGACACAGATGTAAAAATTACTCATATCTGATTGTTTGAGAGCGGTGCGTTCCCTTGTAATACAAGTAGAAAAATGTGAAATGAACGTGAAAAATGTTGAAACACCTTACTGTGATTGGATATGAGAAGACCAAAAGACAATAAACCAGCCAATCAGAACAAAGCATTCCTTATCGAAACGAGTTTTTTCAAAATTCATCACCAAAGGAAAAATAGAAAATACAAATGGCAAATGATTTATTTACAAATTTCAAAATGTTTATCTCGTCAAAAGGAGCTAAAATAATGTCATTTTTCATAGAAGACATGCCTAGAGAAAAAAGGTGTATCAAGAGATATGGTTCCATAGAAGACTGGCGTCAGTCTGATCATATGATATATGCATTGTACAAGTCTAAGGGCATGGGGATGCACACGAGCATCGACGATAAACACAAGAGCAGATTAATAAGCCATGGCCGTGCAATAAAATATTATGCATGGATGGATGGAAGGATGGAAGGATGGAGGGTTGAAGAGAGAGGGAGAGGGAGAGGGAGACAGGGAGGGAGGGAGGAATGGAGGGAAGGAGGGAGGAAGGGAGGGAGGGAGGGAGGGAGGGATGGATGGATGGATGGAGGGGGGGATGGATGGAAGGAGGGAGGGAGGGAGGGAGGGAGGGAGGGAGGAATGGAGGGAGGGAGGGAGGGATGGATGGATGGATGAATAAATGATATCGGATTTAATAAAAGAGTCAATGACACAAGAGTAAATAGTACTTACATATGGAGAAGAAGGAAATTTCAAGCAAACACGAGGCAGAGGTTTCACGCCTGCTAGGTTAAATATTCTTACTGAGGGTTCATCTTTAAAATATATGATATCCTCACAATACAAAAACCCATTGGCACAGAATGGCCATTCCACCTCATAAGGAAGTCCTTAAAAAAGGAAACGTAAGTTTAAATTCAATAACAATATGCATAAATGCATCAGTTGTCACTTATTTTATTTCAAACGTTTTATCATATTTCCCCCCTTTTATCCCCATAGAAAATAACATTCTTTGTTAGAGTTGTATCCATATTCATGTGTCTTCTCGTGGGCAAACTTTAAACAAAGAAATGATACTCTAGGGAATGACACGTAGTTTGATATGGGAATTTTTAATTTTTACCTCACAATTCATATTAGCTGGTTAAGTTGAGTATTAACCACTCACCTTTCTTTGTTACATACACCGGTGATATCGATGACGTTAGGTCCCATATCTTGTAACTTCGATCATGACTACCTAAAAATAGCTTAAGTGTGAGCACAGGTAGCCCAAGCTCTGTTTGTGGCAGCCTTTCGGTTAGTGCTACCCAAAATGTTTTGTACTACATTATATAGTTCCCTAGATGAAGGATTTGGCCCCTTCCAGAAAAGGTCCATCCTTTGGTCCTTCCCGTGGGGGTCCTACTACTATTTCATGACGGCGACCCCCTGTTACGCATGTATGAGATCTCACAGATTTGCATAATTACTTTGATTTAAACTTGCAAACGTGGAACGTCGTTCCACGTTTAACATCTTAGTTGTGGCTTGCTGTGGTTTGTGGATAAATGGACTACTTCCACGATACGGCGAATACATCTCTGATCGCAAGGCATTATGGGGCGTCCAGGGGGCAAATAGAACTTCTTAGAGTAGTGACTTATTTTGCTAAAACAGCTCACCACAAGACAATACAACAAAAGATGAATTAAGACGGCACATCGATCACCTTCACCCATAAAAGAAAGACAAACAGACGAAACTATCTATTTTCCGTCATCTTTGTACTGTTTTGCCCCCTGGCAAGATGGCCGCTGTATCGCCAAAGTAGTCCATTGTGTAACTTTTATAAATCACCGTGGGTGGTAGTCTCCCCCACAGCCGCTTTCAGTGTCGACAGTGAAAGCGGCTGTGGGGGAGACTACGTGGGTGGATGTTGAGTCGAAAGTTTTTTTCTACTTCGAAAATCAAACGCATTCCC